GTGGGCGTTTAGGTGAGCTGGCCCTAGGTGTTCTGGCACTCACAGAAGAGGGAATTGGGTGAGGCCTGGAGTTTTCAGGAAGGCTTCATAGATTTGGCAGAGGTTGAGCTGGGCCTGGAAGGTTGGGTGGATTTTGAAAAATTGGAGGTAAGGTTGGAGATGCCACAGGAATTTGTAGCTCTGTAGGAACATAATAGGGTACACAATGAAAGGTACTTCTTCCATTGCCCTTGAGCCATTCTCTGGATCCCTCCCCCAAGGCTGACTATGTTTCCAGGTTCCAGTGTACACTTACAGAAATACTCAGTGTGGGACATCTGGGTGGTTTAGTTGGTTGAGCATTTGAACCCTTGATTTTGGCTCAAGTCATGATCTCAGGGTCCTGAAATTGAGCCCCAAGTCAAGCTCAGTGGTCAGCATGGAGTCTACTTGTCCCTCTCCCTTTGCTCTGTCCCCTCCCTGCTATCTCTGTTATAAATAAAATCTTAAAAAAAAAAAGAAGAAATAGTGCATCTGTACTCTCCTTGCTCTTGTTCTGTCTTCACAGATTTATTCCATACCCACCCAGAAAGGCATCCATTCTTTTCCATGGTGGTGTTATAGTCCAATGTGTGGATGTAATGTTGTTTTAATCATCTCTCTATTAATGGACGACGCTCTGATTGTTTCTAGTTTTTCTTATGACAAGGCTCAAATGAATACCCTATGAATAACCCCTTGCAAATGTCCCTGTGGAACAGATTTCTTCAAGTGAAGTTGCCTCTCAAATGTTATATACCTTTACATTTTGACCAACAAAAGGGCACCTGGGTGGCTCAATTGGTTAAGCATCCGATTCTTGGTTTTAACTCAGGTCTTGATCTCAGGGTCATGAGTTTGAGCCCTGCGTTAGGCTCCATGCTGGGTGTGGAGCCTACTTAAAAAAAAAGAAAAAAAGAAACAATTTGACCAAGAAAAAGTTCTGTTCATATGCACTCAGACCAGACTTGTAAGAGAGTGGCTCTTCATCCACAGTCTCATCAATACTGGGTATTATTCATTTAAAATTTTATTCAATTTGTGACAGATTTCTTGTTCTACTGATGTAGTTATTTAATCACCATTGAGAGTATGTGTGAGTATGTGAGAGTATGTCTATTTTTTGTGCATTTGTTAGCTATTTCTAGTTCCTCTTCTGTGAATTTTCCATTTTTGTATAGGTTGGTCATTCTTTTGTACATGTTCTTTATATATTAGTGATGTTAGTCTTTTTGTATTGTATGTGAACACATTTTTCAAGTCTCTCTCTCTCTTTTTTTTAAAGATTTTATTATTTGAGAGAGATGGAGAGAAAGAGAGAGAGAGAGAGAGCACAAGTCAGGGTGAGGGGCAGAAGAAGGAGAGGGAGAAGCAGACTCCCTGCTGAGTGGGGAGCCAGATGCAGGGCTCAGCTTCAGAACCCCGGGATCATGACCTGAGCCAAAGGCAGATGCTTTACTGACTGAGCCACCCAAGCGCCCCATATCCGTCTTTTTTTTTTCTTTAACATTATAGTGGTTTTTGCCAGAGTCCTTTCAAACTTTTTATATAATTAGTTTGTTAACCTTATTTATAGTTCTGAGGTTTGTGACTTGCCTGAAGGCCTTTCTCCCATCTGAAAATAATATTCCTCTGTATTTTCTTATAGTATTTTTTATCTTTCCTTTACACATGCATGCATACACACATGCACATACATGTACACATACTCCATTTAGGTCTTTGGAGCTTTAATCATTTGGAAATAGGTTTTCATGGTAAGATACATGGTCTGATTTCCTTTTCTGAAAAATAGGCGCCGTATCGTTTGGACACATTGGCTGATGGCCCCTTGATTTGAAATGCTGTTGTAATCATAACTATGTGCAGGGTTGATGTGAGCCATTCATCTGTTACATTCATCTTTCTGCTTAGTCTCACTGCTAGAACCCTGGGGTCTTAAGTACCGTAGATCTCTTACAAATTTGCTTATCTGGTAGTGCAAGTCCTCTCACACTATTCTTTTTGGAAATTTTATTGGCTGTTTTTATGCATTTGCTCTTTCAGGTGAGCTTAGTGTCAACTAATTAGGTTTCAGAACATGCATGGTATATCCCACTGGGATTTTATTGGCTTTACGTTGAACTCAAAGAATTTTTAAGTGGCAGTTGACAGCATTGTAGTGTTGAGGCTAGATCCAGTGGTACATGCTTGCTTACTGCTCTTCTTTCGCATCGAGCCACCGTCATCTCTGCACTGGGCTGCAGAAGCAGCCCATCAAGTGTCTCGTTGGGACCACTGGCCCTTCTGATCCCTTTTTCTCACTGAGACCAGGGCTTTGCCTTAGCAGTTCACAGGGCTGAGAATATCCCCCTCCAGCCCCTTTTCCCGCAGATTTCTCCTCATCTGTGGGTCTTTTCTCAGTTATCATTTCCTCAAGAAAACCTTCCCTGCTAGGTAAACATTCTTTCCCCCATTGCATTTCCCAGCCTTACTTCTTCTGAGTCCAGTTGTAATTTTACATTTGCTTTGGGTTCTCTGAGCACAGGGCTGGGTGTGCTGTTCCCTCATGTCATGCCCTCTGCCTGCCCAGCGCCCAGCCTGGAGGCGGTGCTCCTGAATACCAGCTCTTGCCAGTGAGCTTGGGGTTTTCCTCTGTGTCTTCATGTCTCTAAGCAAAACCTTCACAGTATTCCTCATTTGGTAGTGGCTAATTTTTGTTAAGCTTATGCCTGTAACCTTTTCTGTTTATTTGGCTGCTGGTGGGGAGAAGCTCTTGGTTTCGGGATGTTCTTGTATCTTCCTGCTGAACTCAGGCCTCATTGCTGCACCTCCTTGTTGGCTTCCTCCTCAGGCTGGTTGGTGCCGGATAGTGCAGCAGCCCCAGCCTCCTCTCGGACCCTACAGCCTGCAGAGGAGGCATAGAGGGTGTGTCCCCAGAAGATTTCTGAAGAGCAAGGAGGGGCTTTCTTCTCAGCAGCCCCCAGCTAATTTGCTGTCTTCTTTGCAGCTCGGTTGGGGTCCCAGGCCCGTTGTGGAGTCCCTCCCAGGTGAGGGCAAACCTTAGCTCTGCAACAATCAGTCAGTTCCAACTTCAGAGTGGTGGGTTCAGCTTCCCCCCAGGCTGACTCTTGTTACCAGGGCTGCCAGGGTGGGGGTGGGTGGGTTGTCACTTTATACAACCCGGATTCTGCTAGAAAGGTGGAGGGACAAACAGGCACTGGACATCTATCAGAATGATCCTGTGACTTTCCCATCAATCCAGTTTAACACCTTGATAAAGCTACAAGATTTCCTGGCGCAGAGCCATTCTTCTGTTCCTGGAGTAAACTGTACATACTATTCTTTGAACATCGGGTTGTGTTTTGATCTGTACGGATTTTGTTTTGGATCTTTTGTCCATATTCATGAGTGAGATTGGTCTGTGTCACACGAAGCCTTTTTACTAATGGAAGTTAATAGAGTGGAGAGATTCTGGGATGTGAAGGTCATTCAGTTCCTGGGCCACTGTGGCTGCGTCACTAAGCTCTCTGAGCCTGCTCCTCATTCACACGGTGGGGACAGCCCTGATGAGCTCAGGCTGCCATGCGGAGTGAATAGTGTCCGTGAAGGTGCCTGGTTAATGCTAAAGCTGGCACACTCAGAACTTCGGACACACACCCCCGGCACCATGTTTGTGAGTTTCCTCCATGAGGAGACAGGTTCGGGAAACACAACGGAGATTTCTCTCGGCTTTCTTCATATAAACCATAATCAGAAAACCAGCCTTGTGCAGGAGGAGAGGCCCTGGGAACATGATGGTAAACATTACATTATTGGTGTTCAGATATTAGGTTCCTGCTTTTCATAATATCCTCAGGGTGCGGGGGAAGATTTGATATTTTCTGAGATTCTGCTGTAAAGCGCAAGTTATTGCCGGTACCATCGCCCAATTATTCTGTACTTATTTTACTTAGACTGTAGTAATTGGAAAAAGATTAGATGTCAGGACTTTGTATTTTGTTGATTATATTACCAAAGTCTCTTTAATCGTTTCTTTTATTCCTAGTATTAATCATGAGCTCCTAGCTGTTAGGAGAAGAGCCTAATGGTGGATTCCTAACTTAAAGGAAAGAAATAATTACTTCAGTTTCAGTGGGATTGACTGAGTGTTGATATACTTGTAAATTGAAACGTGTTCTCTAGCCATTCGGGGCACGTGGCTGAGACATTGGGGAGACACAGAAAGTCCTGCGGAATTCAGAGGCCCATCTCCTCACCCCCCAGCCCCTGCTGTGCCCTCTACTGCCCTCGGGAGGCTCTGCACTGGGCTCCTGGCTCCTCTGCTCCTGGCCAGCCCTGGCCCTCTGTGACCTTCCCACCTGTGGGTCTTTGTGAAGGCAGCAGTGACCTGTACTAGTCCACCTTGAAGACCGTGTTGTCCTTGATGTGTATAAGTAACCTGGCTACGCCCTTGATCAGTGCTGTGTGAGCATACACTTATCTCCATTAAATAATCTCTTTCAAAAGCAGTCCTGAGCAGAGCTCCTCCTATTCACAGGCACTGAATGGGGAGAGTGAGGCAATATGCAGGAAAGAAGGGAGCCCTGGGAGGGCGGTGGAGGTGGGGACAGGTGGTGGTGGTGGTGGCAGAGGGAGATAAATAGTGAGAGGGAACAAGGGAGGGGGCGTGTGGAGGGGAGCCCCCACTTTGGGCTGCACTGCTTCCTGGAGGGAGGTGTGTGGACCTCACCTGTCTCAGGGTGGCTCTTGGGACACTTGCCATGCATTTAGCAGAGGTGCACTCTGTACGGCTTAAATGTAGGCAGGTGACAAAGTGGAGGTAACTCCGTGTCTCGTATGTTGTGAACAATCAGTATCAGAAATCTTTATCACTTAGGTTCATTCTGGTTTCACTCTTGGGGCCCCCTCCTGCCAGGAACACTGATGAGATATGTCAAAGCCCCACGGGGAGTCCGCTAACCGTTTGTAAACCCTGTTTTCTTTGTCTTTGTTGCCAACAGAGGAATTACGCAAATTGAGCTGGTCCGGAATTCCTAAGCCGGTTCGTCCCATCACCTGGAAGCTTCTCTCAGTAAGTCTCTGTGGGCCTGCTCATCAGCTTGGCCTGGTCCGGAGTGTGGCCCGTCAGCCGTGGCCCAGGCAGGCATCCGGTTTTTGCGGCAGTGAGCAGGGCCTTTGCCTGAGCTAAGGTGACATTTTCCATCCTTTGCTTAATTTCAAGCTTGGTTTGACAAGGCTGGCAGAGAATGAGGAGAAGTAATTATTTATGACAGCTGTATTCTTTTTCTCTGATTTTATTATTCTAAAAATCTTTGTAATATTTTCAAACCTGTGATAAAGGATCCAGCATAGACTATTTCAGTGCTTAAGAATCCATCACAGCAAAATATGTTTGACCAATTTCTTTCTTTCTTTTTTTTTTTTTTTTTTAATGTACTTTAGTAGCCATGTTAGGGGGAGAAGTTGGTGCTAAAAGTATCTGTGATTCTGTGATGGAGGCTGTGGTTCTGGGTTCCTCCTCCCTAAACTGCCCACTGCGGAGACTCCTGGAGGGGATTGGGTGGGCAGGTGGGGCAGCTGTAGCACACTCCCTGGTACTTCCCTCGGGTTGGTATCAGAAGTGAGCTTGGTCCTGCTCAAAACTTTGGGGTAGTTTGTAGACCGTCTTCTCCTTTATCCCTTTTTAAATTATTTTTGTTGCTAAATCAGTAGAGAACTCTAAGTGTTCACTCTAAATTGGGTCTTACTTTCAGTATTTAAAAGACTGTTTCTTGCTAATGAGTCTTAATAAATTTGTAGCTTAGTACCTCGTAATCCTAAATGCAGATGCCGTTCTCAACAGTGAATATTTATAGATTAAATATTCTCTTGCAATTAAAATTAGACCTGCTACAATTGCTTATATGTCTGTTTGGTGTCTGTTATTTTAAGCATTTGTATCTACATTTCCAAATGTCCTCTAGGATAGGTTACAAGCTTTTTAGATGGAACTGTAGGACGTTCTGACGAAAATACGTTTAAGACCTTCTAGTGCAGTTTTGTATTTGTTAAGGCTGTGCTGCCTCTGGGTGGAGAGCCCTCCTGAGTTGTTTCACCCTGTTCCTTTCCTTTGGTTCTTGGTCTGTGTCCGTCGTAGCTGAGCTACCCTGTGTGTGCTGCACAGGGCCCGGCTTGGCAGGCATGTGACCTGGGCTTCAGTGGGCAGAGGAGTAGAACAGGGAGGAGGCAGGGGCTCCACTTTGTTGGTTTGAATGGGAAGGAGGGTGTAGGTGGGTAGAGTCTGTAACCAGGAATGTTGGGGATGCGAAGGAAAGATCATCCAGGTTTCTCAGGTACATGTACTTGCGTGACCCGTTAACTGACCACAGGGACTCCTTGCCCAGACACAGAGATGAATGAGGTCCTTGCCCTCCCCATCAGGAGGAACTGGGTCAGGTCATCCTGCTCAGTGGGATGCACGGGGTGCAGGGGAGGGCAGGGCAGCAGCAGAGCAGCGGTGTGTGATGCCGAGGACGGACAGCCCCTTCCCAGGTTTGGCAGGTGCTACAGGTGGGAGGCTGGGGACTGGGAAGGACAGAGGTGAACTTGGTGGTTCTGGACCCCTTTAGTTTAGGCATGGATTGATAGATGAGTTAAAAAAAAAGTGTTGGCATCAGTGAGCAAAGCCTGTCTGTCTAGAGTTGGGGAGAGCACTTAGGAGGGGAGGGGTGGTTTCAGGGCAGGGTGCCTACCCCCTGTGGATGGCAGGCCAGGCTCCTTGGTGAAGGTGGGATGCTTCTGGAGCATCTTGAAGGGTGTGTCAGTGTCCTCAGGTCCGGGAGATGTGGAGGGTGTATGGCCTGGGGGATGCAGCTGGGGTTGGAGGGAGAGCTGGTTCCCCAGGAATGGCAGGTGGACTGCTTGGATTAGGGAGGGGTGGGGAGCCAGGGGTAGCTGGGGACCAGGAGCAGGCCAGCACCTGCAGGAGTTGAGTGAGGTGGGCAGGGGGATGGGGATGGGATGGCTGTTTCTGGAGCGGGAAGGCCGGAGTCTCTTGACAGGTCTCTTGGCTAGTGCCTTTATTCATTTGATCAGTATTTCTTGAGCAATTTTCTGTGTCTCTGGCACTGTTCTGGTGCTGGGAGATAAGAAGGGAAGTGGATCAAGTCCCTGTCCCTCATGGGGTCTGCAGAAAACAGAGGGGGTCCCTGCCTTCCTTGGTCTCCCCCAGGACAGACTGGGATTTCATCCATTCTCTCAGGAGAGTCAAGATCCCCAGGGAACTGCTCACCCTGTGTCTCTTCCTATACTTTTTTGCTCGTTTCACAGTATCTGTTGAGTGCTTGCTGTTTGCCGGGCTGTGCACGTGCGAGAGATCCCTGCAGAAGTGGTGGTCTCTGGCTGCCGAGCTGCAGGAGCAGTTAGGTCGGTATCACAACCAGGGCCTGGCAGGAGGTGGAAGAGTGTGCCTGTTGAAAGGAGGGGGTGCACAGCCAGGACAGAAAACTGGGCAGGGGAGGAGGGGCTAGAGGCTGCAGGAGCGGGGGTGGGTGGGACTCGGCCTGCTGTAGTGGGACACTGGTTGGTTCTTTGGGGCTGGACTCCTCATTCACGGGACACATGCTCCTCGTTTCTTCATCATGCTCTGGGCTGGAGTAGTAGTCTCACCCCAGCCTTCAGGTGCCCCCAGACAGCCTGGAAAGACAGGCTCGTGCACATTCTGCACGGTGCTCTGTGCCCCGGAGGTAAGATGGGCTCTGGGCATCCAGGGGAAGGGAACCACCAGGTTGAGGGGTACTAGTCAAACATGGGCATGGCCGGGGCGGGGGGGAGGGAAAGGAGGTCAGAATTGAGGGGCCATCATCTCCTATCCCCTAAACATTGACCCAGGAGCTGCCTTGTGAGCCTCACCTTGCCTCCTGGTTACTCCCAAGGAGACAGCTGAAGCATGTTTTCTGTAGTGGAAGAGTTGGCGAGCACCGTGAAGGATGCTAATCATTTATTTCTGGCTCAGCGAGTGTTTCCCTTGCATCTGCCCTCGGCCACCAGGCCCTTTGCGAGTGCTGGGTCACAGAGGAATCTTGGAACATGGTGGGGAGAAAACCCAGCAGGCATGTCAGGGCCATGGGGGTGTGGAGAAGGGTCCCCCAAGTGAAGGCCACCTCCCTGAATCCCAGGCTTCACATTCCACCCTCCTGGGAAGCTTTTGCAGATCCTGGGGTCTGGGCCCACAGAGCAGATTGGAGCCTTGGGGTAGACTGAGGCATGGGGGTTTGTACCAATTCCAGCCAACGCTAGGCTGAGCAAGGGTGAGGGTAGCAAGGACGTGATGGCTTTGGGCTTTGGGCTGCCCTCTTGACCTGTGTTTTTTTCATCTTGGGTGCAAGTTAGTGGTGCCTGGGAAACAAGGTGTCTGGAGTCCACAGGGATTCTCACATGTGGCCAGGTTGGGTTCCACGTGGGACAGCAGGGCATGCACGGACCAGCCGGGAGACAGGACCCACTGGAAGCAGCATGCCTGGGCTGAGGTGCCTGGGCTTGACCGAGAGGGTAGTGCCCCGGAGGCTCAATGGCGTGGGTGAGGCTGACTCCGGCCCCGCCTGTCACTTCCGGGACCCTGAACCCAGGGACCGAGGAGAATCTGTCATTTGTCCTGTTGAAGAAGACAACTAAAGCTGCACTTGAATATGAATCTACTTCAAGACCTGGCAAACTAATGACTTCTTCCCCCAGTATGTTAACGATTTGTCATTAACGTGATCCTGGTGGTCTGTTGAAGAGCCCTATTCTTAATGGATGAGTAAGAAATGCTCCTTTAATGAAGAAAGATGGGAAACTTGGCTCCTGTCATTTACGGAGGACTAACATATACTCTAGTCTAGGACGTATCGTTAAACCACCATTAATGCTGTTTAACATTTAAATTCCATGCAAGCATGGCAGTAATTTTTTAAAAATTAGCACTGTAGAAAATCATATTTTTGGCCCACTTAGTAATAACTATTTCAGAAACATTGAACAAAAACTAATTAAACATTGAACATTTATGCTACTGAGCAGAATGGTTACAAGTGATAAGTGAGGTGCTGGCGTCACCCTGTCTTCTTGGGGTGTGTCAAGGTAGGTTCGCATGTAAACCCGCGGGAGGGAGACACTTGATGCGTGTGTCACTGGGACAATTTTATATAAGTATATGCAGGTATTATTGTTTTACGTTTATGATTAGTGTTTTTATAGCATGCTAATACGGCAATTAAGTTTTCTGTAGTTCTGTCGTTTAAAATTCATTGCATACTTGAATATATTTCGTTTGCATAATTTCCAGTCTGGCTTAATTATCTGAAGGCCCCAACTTGCATATGTGTGTTTTCCTTTAGGAATGGGAGTGTCAGGAGTGTGTTGGGAGGGGGGGAGGCTTTTTATTGCCTGGTTCCCTTTATGGCGTGCTGCCTTTTAGAATTTCTCTTTTAAGAAGTGAAGTTAAAATCTGGGAGTAGGGGAACGTGTGAATCCTCGTTCACGGTCAGTAAGAGCCCTTCAGTGGCTCGGGGTGGGATTGATGGACGGCAGCCCACGAGGCTCCCTGGTTGCCCCACTGGGCCGGATCGAAGGTGGGCCCCGGCCTGGCACACGGGGCCTCCCCGTTGGCTGCTGCACATGTCCATGCTCCTTACTGCATGTGCTCTGGCCTCACCCAGGCAGCCTGGACACGCTGCCTGGTGCACTTGATGTAGTTGGGTGACTTTTCTTAGGGCGTCTGCCCTGTTTCTCTTCCACGCCTTGTTCTCCAACACTGGTGCCCACCCCAAACCAGTCCTAACCAAGCCCAGAACCAGATGCTTACCGGTGCTTACTTGTCACGCAGCAGCGCAGACCCCCAGGACCGTGGCCCTCCTCGGGGTATGGTGGTATTGCTTCACGTCGCGTTGGCACATTCATTGTTCAGCAGGTCTGCATCGGGCGTCTGTGGTGTGCCCGCAGCACTCTGGGGGAGGAGCAGCTGTGAGCACAGCGTGGGGACGCCCGCCCTGCGGAGCTCACGGTCCTGGTCCTGGGGTCGCCTAGAGCAGGTGCATGGGCGGCAGGAATGCA